GCTTTTCCTTGCTTACTGAAGGGATTCATTGCCAAATGTCTACAGGGTACAAAGACCTTTCGCATTTGCCAGTACTTCGCAACTTTAGTTCACAACTTGCGTACTAAAGTTCCCAACTTCAGTACTCAAGTTCACAACTTCAGTACTCAAGTACACAACTTCAGTACTCAAGTACACAACTTGTCAACTCAAGTTGACAAGTTCATAACGAATATTCCATATTTGGAAATGTAGTTGGCAACATTAGAAAGTAACTTGGCAACCGCCATTTGAAAAGTTAACTGAAATCGACAAAAATGGATAAACCGCGTATAGAAGAAGCGGCTCGTTTATTAGGGAGTTTTAGCAAGAGTACGACTACGAGAACGAGTACGAAATTTGACCGTGTAAAGGAATGGCACGAGGAAGTTTGTTGTCGTTGTCGCTTCGTCAAAATTTTGCTTTAGTTGTAAACTAGAAAACGCGAAAGGTCTTTGTACCCTGTAGACAGGTAGTTGTACAATAAAACAAAGAACCGTTAAAACAACTGAAATACTTTCACTGAAATAACAATTGTTTGTAACTAATTGTTTCAAAGCACGTGTAGCCAAAAGAAAACAACATAAGAGAAGCGCTAGTGCCAGACTGCTGGATAATAAAAAATATGTGTTGAATAATTGAAATAAGGCTGAACAATGATAAGTAATATGCTGAATAATTCAAATAAGGCTAAACAATGATAAGTAATATGCTGAATAATTGAAATAAGGCTGAACAATGATAAGTATTGAGCTGAATAATTGAAATAAGGCTGAATAATGATAAAAAATGTGCTAAATAATTGAAATAAGGCTGAATAATGATAAAAAATATGCTACATAGTTGAAATAAAGCTAATTTTCAATATGAACATAATAGCCCAACATAAGACTTTTAAAAAAGCCATCACAATAATAAAATAGAGAAGGATTTATTAATAACGTTTCGTCTTTAAGTTTCGTCTCTGGCCACGATTTGAAATAAAGCTGAATAATGATAAAATAATACAGTGAATAATTGAAAATAGGAAGGTCAATAATATTTAATTTATTACATATAATGTTTAAAAATAAGAATCATTACATTTAGTGTAATTTGGGGGGATATGGCATCCCATAGAAAAATAGAGAAAATTTATACTTTCTAGATAGTTTTGTATTAGCTCCAGAACATTTTAAAAATAAGAGATGGAAAAAATTTGCAATTGATAAAAAATTAAATTTCAAAATATTTTCTTATAAAAGACACCAAAATATTAATACAACTACTTGTGGTGTTTGTTTTTCTTTTTACAAAAATGTTTAAAAATGTGGTTGAAAGGAGGTTGGCATAAAAGGAGGTTGAAATTTTACAGCTGGTTTGTATAACATATTATCAATCTAAAAAATAACTATATGGAATTGTAAAAAAATCATCAAGTGTAATACGTTTATCAAATGTAAATGGAAAATTTTTTATTTTTCAAAAATTTTTTATTCGTCATTATTTAATTCATTAGTAAGATCACCTAGATAGTTACCATTTTAATATCATTTCCATTAACACTATTGTAAATTACCGAATCAGTATCATAATATAAAACATTGTTGTTTAACTTATGTAATATATTCAAAAGCTCTATTCTTGCATAACTTGTTACAAACAAAGCAATAACAACATTATTATGTAAAATTGACAAACATGCTTCATTTTTTTGTGTGTTGTTCTTAATGTATCAGAAGAGATGATATTTAAAGAAGTTAATTCATTAGTATAATTGTTTTCTAAATTTAGTAAATCATTTAAGTTATTAATAAATGGTACTGTAACTGCTTTATCACTTTGTGCAAAAGCTTTTTCCACCATGAATTTAAAATCATTTCAACAATAGTACAAATACATATATTTTTTTATTATTTTTATCTAATTGGATTCCTTTGTGTTTATAATAATCTAAATAAAATTCATTTAGCTTATCTTCATTAACAGTTTTATCCTCATCATAACATTCTGCAGGAATACCACTATTTTCTTGTTTCATTTTCATAAAATTATTTACAAATTGTCCAAAAATTTTACTTTTATTTTTATAATAAATTTCATACATTTTAATTATTCTACCTAAATAGATGCTTCTAAATCGTTTGCTTTTTTGCACTAAATCCATTTTTTTTAAAAAAAAGTAAGATATTACAATTAGAATGATGAAACATATGGTCTTTGTTTGCACAGTTCCTATCGATCTTACACTAAGCCCAAGACCTCATTGCAATACATCCACCACGAAAGCAACCACCCACTAAGCATAACAAGGAACATACCAGATACCATTAAGAAATGGCTTTCATCCTTATCATCCAACAAAGCATCATTTGATCAAATAATTCCTCCATACCAAAAAGCACTTGACAAAAATGTCACTACACAATAAACTATGACTTGAATGCTACTACCAAATGAAAAAAACAGACTTAGAAAAAACATACTCTGATACAACCCACCATACAGCAAGAACGTCAGCACAAACATTTGCAACAAATTCATTTCACTAATCGACAAACAAACTCTATTAAACCGCAACACAGTTAAATTAAGTTACAGCTGCATGAACAATATGGAACAAACAATAACCACAACAAATGCATAGTGAGAGCACCTGACAGTACTGTTGGCACCATCAATGACAAAAAACCACAAAATAAAACATGCAACTGCCAACAGAAACAAAACTGCCCACTTAGTGGAAACTGCCTATAATCATCTGTCATCTACCAAGCAACTGTTAAACATTTGGACACTAACACAACTGAGACCTACATCGGACTCACAGAAAACGAATTTAAGACTTGACACAGGAACCATGCTGGCTCTTTCTACCACAAAAAACTAAGAAACTCAACCAAACTCAGTAAACACATATGGCCACTCAAAGACAGCAACATTACTCATGAAACTTCATTACTGACAGAAAACTGTGCAACAGCGCCAACAAGATGCAACCTATGCCTGAAAGATAAATACTTCATCACCTACCAACCACAACTTTTATTACTCAACAAACGTAACGAACTTGTCTCCTCTTGTCGCCATAGACACAAGGCACTTATGTCTAATTTGTAATCGTACACCTAGCTTATTATGTAATTCTATCTTAATTTATACCAAAAATTCCTCTTGTATATATAGTTAAACACATGCTTTTGTTTTCATTTTATACTATCCCCAAAAAAGTGAGAAATCACAAAACAGGCTTGTCGGAATGAAATTGTAGTTTTGTAAATTTTCTTCTTAACAATATTTATGCTCTGCTCTAATGCATTGAGCACTGTAATTATGAAAATCAAATAAACAAAACTTCCCAATATACAATGATATGTATATTAGACTGGATAACGCATCTATTGTGAAAATTGAAGCTGGAAGTTCGATCATTTGCTTCTGGCTTCATGGGGATTGGTCTCACTTTACTAATCTTTTGTATTACAAAATCACAGTTTTTGCATTGTTATTCCTTTACAAACTTCTTATGAAAAAACTTTCATGAGAATTTTCAATATGAACATAATAGCCCAACAAAAAAGTTTTAAAAAAGCCATCACAACAGTAAAATACAAAAGTGTTCAGGATATTCCAGCATCTTCAACTCAAGCTTGGAACTCGACCTAGAGTTTCTTAAAACGTGTAAGAAGCGCTCCATAATACCACGATTCCTATGGTTACTAATAGCAGATTGTGATCTAGTGCCTATCGACACTGTCAACATAAGTTGTTATAGGAAAAAACAAACACAAATGAATTAAATGCGTTAAATGACCTCAGATTGACAACAACATCGTCATCCTGAAACCAGATAAGGGCAATGGAGTTGCCATTTTGAATAAAGATGACTACCACGAAACGATTATTGAAATTCTAGCAGACATATCAATGTTCGAACTTTTAAATGATGATGCCATCAAACTCACCCTAAAATGTGAGAACCAAGTAAACGCATTGCTGAGAAAACTAACAACAGACAAATGCATAGATGAAAAAACATACAAGGAGCTTTATCGCACTGGAAAACATATTGGCATACTATACGGACTCCCTAAAATGCATAAATTCTCCATTCCTCTAAGACCTATCATATCTAGCACTAACCACTACTCCTACAAGCTAGCTAAATTCTTCAATCCATTCCTTACACCAATTTCTGCTAGCTTCCATGCAATCAAGGACTCTTTCCCTTTTGTCCAAGATCTTTTAAATAGTGACATTAACGCCAATAGCGTTGTGATGGCGAGTTTCAATGTCAAAACCATGTTCACCAACATCCCAGTTGATGAAACAATGGCTATGATCACTAATCACCTCTTCTCAAATAACATGTCATTTCAAGGTCTTAAAGGGGAAGTCAGAGTTCAGAACAACTTAGGCTCAAATGAGAGTACATTATTATTACTTAGTATACAAAGTCTAAAATCTTTATGTTATATAGAACTCGAGAAATAAAGCAATGAAACTGCATAATTTTGTAAATATAAATGTACATCCGAGCAAACCCGTGACTTTGCAATCAAGCAGTTTTGAGGACAATAGATATTTTATCTCTCAATTTTCTGGCGAAATAACTAGGTAAATGGTGTATTTATATGTATATATGTAGCGATATTTTGACCTGTTCTAACTTAAAATATGGTCAAGAAGTTTCAAAGATAAATAGAGGGTTTAAATATTTTATTTTCGAACTGGTTAATGAAACAGGGACATATTTTCCTGACATGCTAAGACGAAAGCAAAAAATATGTGTGTTGAAAAACTTAAATTCATAGTTTTAAAAACGACACCACAATGTACAAGGTATTTGTATATTTTTATATGGTTCACCATATTTACAGTCCCCAAAATCACAGTTTGTTTATTACAGAATTGTACTAAAATATAGGCCATGCCCACATACTTGGTAGTCACAGAAGATTATTATTTAAGTGCTAGATAACCAGCTGAGTAAAACTTTAAAG